GGAATGAGGATATCCGCAGTAGAACCAGAGTAACCGACATAGCCCAACGGATTAGTAAGCTGAAGTGGCAGTGGGCCGGCCATATAGCTCGAAGAACCGACAACCGATGGGGAAGAAAGGTTCTCGAGTGGCAGCCTCGTACCGGTAGGCGAAGTGTAGGGCATCCCCCCACGAGATGGAGTGACGACCTGGTAAGACATGTAGGAAGTCGATGGATGCAGGTGGCTCAGGACCGTGCTTTGTGGCATTCTTTGGGGGAGGCCTATGTTCAGCAGTGGACTTGTAAAGGGCTGTAATGATGATGATGATGATGATGACTAATTCTATAAAGTTATAGTTTTTAGAGTATAAATAAACCCATGTCCCATTTTGAGTTAAAAAATAAATGGACAGTTTAGTTACAGGGGTTTTTGGGTTGTAATTAAATGAAGCCCGGGTAGGTATTAGTACTTACTTAGTAAAAGTAGGTAACTATTTAGATAAGTACCTCTTATCTAATCATAATACCTACATAGGTACTTTTTACCGAATTACTATACCTACTAAGATATTGTGGTTAGGTATTAGGATTATTTTTAACTGTATACTATACTGATAATATTGAATTAGCTTTTTATAGTGTAAATTATAATATTTGTCGGAATGTTAATTATGGCCTCCGGACGGGCGACTTCTGCCAAGAGAACTCCCTCTATAGCGATTAGAGAGTCGAGTAATAACCCGCAATGCCGCAGATAGGCCAACTTAGACGCCCAGGCCGGATTAGTCGCCTATAGGCCGACTTACCCGACCGGGCCTTATTAGACGACCATAGACCAAATTAAACGCCCAATTCTTAATTTTTATATTTGCATTTACTTCAAAGAATATACTCGCAAAAAGCTTCATCGCGCAGTAAAAAACACAGCAAATATATGTATAACTAATATGAAAAATTATACCCAAAACAAACAAATAATACTACCTATAAATAACCTAATAAGTAATAATAATATTATCGACTGATAAGATGACGTGAGCGAGCGAGCGCTGGCCACGCCGTGACTAACGACACGGGTTTCACCTTCAAGAGCTTAGCGCTCACTGACTCCAGCAACCCTGTGGGCAGTGAATACGCCCAGTTTTTAAAATAATTTCTTAATAAAATAAAATTTTGATCTTTTGAAAAAAAATTATGATAGAAATGTTCATTAATAAATTGCCTATCCATTAGTTTCAATCGCAAAATAAAATAATGCTTACTTTACGAGGAGATGCATGTTATCAATAATTATTTCACATATGTATGGTTTCGTTGTAGGGAGATTATTTTAATATTTATTCCTTTTGAAAATAATTGGATATGACTCTTATGGAATCAAGATTATATAGAAATATAATGTGTTTTTATTAGTTGATATATATTTTTAATAAAAAATAGATAGCTCCTAAAAACTGCAGAAATAACGATTAGCGCGACATTTTGCTCAACCATGTGCCTTAATGCCAAATTATCTTGAGGGTGTACGCTGCACGCGTCGACTTTTAATGTTGCGGCTGCGCCTTTGACAAGATGCGGCATGTGCTAAGGCTGAGCGACACAAAGTAGTCTTGTTTCTGCTCGGTCATTTTAAACATCGCTCCGTACTAGTTCATTTCGGTCAGTGAACTAGTTCGTTCTATTAGTTCTATTAGTACTACTAAGTAGTTTAAATTGTATCTACGAGTATCTGTAAAATCTGCATGGAACATTGAGTTATATGTACTACGTACGTACATATAACTCAATGGCATGGAATGGTTATCTCAGTCAGTCAGTCTCAGTCGTTCAATATCTGCTCGAATCATAATGTTTCCTCTACACTACTCGCGAAGTAACTTCGACGAAGTGCTCGTCGAAGTCGATCACAGTCCGAAGAACGTGACCACACACTCGTGCTACTTCGTGAAGAGCTCAGTCGTATTGAGTCTCCCACACCTTTAACATGAATGACGTTCAAGAGGCAGCTGCTTTATGTACCTAATTGTGTGAACAGTACGACGTCAATGCGTTAACTAAATAAATAATTATGTAGAAAGCTACATATTTAATATTTATATATAGGTATATAAAAAAAAATCATAACTGGCGTAAGCCGAGTAGTGTAGTGAGACGCTTCGTGTAACTTCGAGGTACTTCGCGAAGCCCTTTGACTCTGGCGCAAAAAACCGACAGCGATCAGAAGTCGCCCGAGGCGAAGCGAGGTTGGACGAAGTGAATCGAAGTACCTCTCTACACTATTCGCCTCGTCCAACTTCTATCTACTTCGCGAGTAGTGTAGAGGAGGCATAATATTGTATTATCATTCGTACACATACACTTGATGATTTCTTGGTCAAAATGAAAGTCTAAAGCAAATCAGTGTTGAAAAAATAATTAACGTTAGTGAAATAAAATCACATATCCAATACATGCGAAAACAAAAAACATCCAAGGATGTAATCAATATTAAAACAATAATAAAAACCACAAAAAATTCTCCCCGATAATTATTACAGTATAACTTCAATTTTATTACATTTTTACGCGATCGGAAGTGCCGAAATGAAGTCTAGCAAATGTTTGTTTGGTACAATAATTTGCGAACACGGCTGTGTTCTAGCATCTTTTCGGATTATAAGCTAAATTAGACGTTATTGCATTGATATACCTAATATGTATCTTTCTATAACGTCTCTAATGGTAGCATTATACATTCGTCGGCTCTTGTCCCAATGACATACTCAACTCATCGACTCTTTCGTTAGCTTGCTCTCGTACGGTCCGACCGATTATCAATCAGCGTTCGGAAACGTTTCTTTTTGTAAAGTGCTAACATACGTTTCCTATTCGTTCATCGTTCGCGAACTACACAATATTAATGGCCCCTCTACACTACTCGCGAAGTTGATCGAAGTTGGGCGAGAAGAATAGTGTAGAGACGTAGGTACTTCGATTCGCTTCGTGCAACCTCGCTTCGGGCGACTTCCGATCGCTGTCGGTTTTTTGCGCCCGAGTCACAGGACTTCGCGAAGTGCTCCGAAGTTACGCGAAGCGTCTCTCTACACTACTCAGCGTAAACCAGTTATATATATTACTTTATATATATATATGTTTAACGCATTGACGTCGTACTGTTCACACAATTAGGTGCCTATAGCAGCTGCCTCTTGAACGTTATTCATGTTAAGGGTGCGGGTGACTCAAGACGACTGGGCTCACCGTGAAATAGCACGAGTGTGTACACACTGTGTAGTCATATTCTTCTGTATTCTCTAGGACTGCGATCGACTTCAACGAGCACTTCGTCAAAGTTATTTCGCGAGATCACGAGTTGTGTAGAGGAGGCAATAACACAAAGGCGATCGTATTTAAGCGAACAGACTCACCTTCAATATTCAATAATTGCTAATTAGGTTTTCTGTTATGTAAATATTTATAAGCATGTTATATGTGCAAGTCACATTAGTCAATTAGTTTATAAGAAAGTATATAATATTATTATCAATTTGTTTACATAATTTGAGAATTGAGAACTTAAACTTATTAATATTGCTGTTTCCAAGAGGGCCGATTAATTATGTAGGTACTAAATTAGGTAGTTTAGGTAGTAGGTGCTAAGTGTTTTTATGTATAATATAATTGTTATTGTGCCCAATAGAGTCCCATGTCCAATAGTGGACTTTTTTATCGATGAAGAGGAAACTCGTGTATATGCAAGAGAGAAAAAAGGCTTTTTGAATTAAATATTGAAGGCGTGACGTCCGAACACAGCTGTGCACTAGAGGTGACCGTTTCGGTTTATACAATAAAGGTAGATGACTGGCAGGTGCCATATTCGATCAGCGGACTTGGCCGCCGCACCAAATACCTAGTCCAGTCCCGACCAAATTCGATCATCTCTTAACACCTTGGATCTAATTTTAACATATATCCATTGGGATGTCTTATTTGTCGAAATGAAATATTCTCTTTAGTTATTGTACGGTTGCTGTTCAATATCACATAAGCACATAACAGCTACAGCAGCGGTGACACGGGTCGTGGATTTGATTCTCGCTCCGGGACGCACAAATAATTGTTCGCACTCCGAACAATTATTTGTCTAATTTGCCTTTTGTCAACGTGCAATTTAGGTATATAAAAAGATCTCATTACACAATAGGATAGTCCTGAAGTACGAGCTATGTTATAATGTTATCTTACAGGTTGGTGTTGTTGAAAACTTAAAATACCTTTCAATATTTTATCCTTTTTACACTTTCTAGCGGCTTAATAATTATAAAAATAAACATGACAATGATACTTTTACCTATTTTTAATATTGCTATAATATACATCTTCCTCGACATTAGTAATAAATTGAAGGAAAAGTAAACGTAAGCACAGTGGAAAAGCCACGCGGCAGCTTTTGCTGTCGCACGGATGGGCCGGCTCGAACCGGGGTGGTACCACGACCTCACAGAAAACCAGCGTGAAGTAGAGGTTTACCTCTGCGTTTTGCTTGGTGAGTGCAGGTGGCCGGAGGCCCTTTTTACTGGAAATGAGGCATTCCATCTTGGTCCTCACGGGTGACAACGCATCTACATCTTGATTTGTGGATTTGTGTTGAATGGAGGATAGACGTAGATGTCTATGGGCCGCAGCAACCACTTACCATCAAGTGGACTGTGTGCTCGTTTGTCACCCTTATCCTATAAAAAAAAGCACATTATTAAAATAAGGAAAAGGGTGGTTTTAAATTTTGCGCGCTACGCTTTTCACGCCCAGTTTGACGTCACGCTACGGGGTTCTCGAGGTAGCTTTACCGCACCCTATTTTACTTAAACCAAAAGGATACATATGATTTGAATAAAAAAATAAAAAGTGTTTTATTTCACTGAAATAGAGTTAAATATTGAATATCAAAAATTTTAGTTCTTAATTTTATCACTAGACTGCGTGCTCCACTCAAACTACACTAGCGCAAAACGAACCAATCACAATTCAGGGATTTTGACGCAATTTGCAAATGGCCGTGAAAAGGATCGAGCTCCTGGGTGTATGAAATAGTAAATGGTGGAATTGTCGGTGTTAAAAACTTGTGATTAAATCTTAGTTCGGTGTAGTGTTGTTAAAATAATACAAGATGTGCCAAAAAGATAGAATCCTGTTGTAATAGTGGTTTCGGAAGCGCCAGGGAACCGCTGCTGGAACAGTCGACGTGAGATTGCTGACTGCGGGGTAAATTTCTTTCATTTTTGATATATTAATCATCTTTTTCTATACTGTGTCTTATTTGCAGTAAAATTAGAAATTAAAGTTTTTAAGGGTGTGACGTGAATTTTGAATTATCAAAGTATCAATTGTATCGGGAAATGGTTGTCGCCCGGTCATTGCGTGGTACACCCAATTATGAAAAGGCGCACGTTATTTTAATAAATCAATCAAAAATATCATTGACTATATCCTTACAGTGATTTAATATATCTTATTTTCTTGGCAAATTCATCTTTACCAATTAATTAGTAGTAGTAATATTAAAGTTTAGTAATGAAAACGTAAAGGCTGGGCTTCTGTGACTAGTTGGGTGTGCGATGAAAATTCGTGTTGCCTTTATTGAAAACACTTCTGTTATTACATTCTTGACCTTCCCTGTAATTTACATTGTTTTCCTTCCTTCTACTAATTCCTTCTAATTTGAATTGAAATTGGTGATTCGGTTTTGCGGCTTATATAGGTATTGTGCTTTTTAATTTTTTTATGTATAATTTACTGCCGTATCTTATGTAATGTCGCTGTATTTGGTGTAATTTTATGTTATATTTGCTTTTACATAATTTGCGTGATATTATGCCTGAGATATACAGTTGAGCACTAATGAAGACTATAATTATTTGGTCTTATTTTCGTTTATATACAAGGAAATAGTTAATATCATTTTATCTTACTCCTCAAGGGTAAGAAAACTGTAACGCCTTCATTCTTGATCATTCATTAAAGATAGGTGTTGATTTTATCTATGGGGTGGTATTTGTTTCTTTTATGATATGTTTTAAAATAAATTTTGTCCTTTTGTGTGCTTTTTTTTAATTACTACTAGTCAGTGCTGTACTATCTCACCTGGTGGTAAATGGTGAAGTTACCAAAGATGGTAAAGTGTACTGACTTGCCTAACAAAAGTTTATTCACTCTTGACTTGAAAACACCCACATTGAAATAGTGGAAAAGCAGATGCTGGCAAGTTATTTTCCTACTGTTACTGTACATATTTTAAATAACAAAGTAGACTATTTGATTACTATGCATAGTATAGTAACAACAAAGGGGTGGAGACTGGTTGAGCATCTGATTTTCTGATGATGGTAGGAAGGGGTAGGGATAATGTTATGTAATTACTGCACATATTCTGAATTGTACCTTGTGTATGAGCCGACTATTCTGTATTATTTTAAAGAAAACCACAAATAGTAAATTTTTTATAAATTTGGAACTATAACAAAAACTATAAAAACAAAGCAATATTACAAGAATTATAAAAGTCATTATTTACACGAAAATTACATCCTTTTCTCGTGGTCCACAGACCCATTGGCACTCCACATGTACTACTTGTGCCAATGCATTTTCCACACAAAAATAACCATGCAGCTAACGGAAAGTATAAACTGGCAGCATTTACAATATCAGAATAAAAAGAAATAGTGTTTTATGGTTTCACAGTCCAACATAGCAGTTATAAGAAGGTTAAAATCATTAAATTGAAGTGTTCGTCTGTGATAGCAAATTAACTGCTTTTTATTGAGCTCTGATTATTTGCATGTCCTTAAGTTATGAATAGCCATTTTTAAAATTTTTGTCTGTCTGTCTGTGCTAACCTTTAGAATGGCTAAACCAATTGTGATGAACCTTCACAAACAGGTAGAAAACAAGGTTATCTAGACTATTTTATCAAAAAAGAAAAACTTTTTATTGTCGTAAATATGAAAAATTGATAAAATATAAAAGGTGGTTTTGATGTCTTTAATTTAAATCTATATCTATTCAAATAAAAAAAATTTAAGTGCCTGTTTGTAATGTCATTATAACAGCTATTAACTAAATGCATATGAAAGTTATACTGTACATATATCTGTCTGCTATCTGTTTTTGTCTGTCTGTCTGTTTGTTCCGGCTAATCTCCGAAACGGCTGGACCAATTTCGACGGGACTTTCACTGGCAGATAGCTGATTTTATAAGGAGTAACGTAGGCTGCTTTAATTTTAGAAAAATAATTAGGGTTCCATGCAAAAAAAATTAAAACCCTAAATTACACGTAGGCGAAGTCGCAGGGAACAGCTAGTGACGACATAAATGGCGTTAATAGATACTACCCAGGTGAAGCCGGGGCTGGTTGCTAATTTTAAATAGTGCATTGGTCTATTATTAACTAATTTATTTATTTATTTATACAAGCCGTAAGGTGTTTCTGATTATATTACTATTAGAACACTAAAATATCAACCAAAAACCCTCCCAAATCAGAGGTGTCCCTAGAATTGAACTCCATCCAAATTTATTAATAACTCAACTACTGCGCTACCCATCAAATCCAGATTTTGTGACTTTTTTTGCTACTAAAACAACATATTATACTGTGAATGAATCAGTATGGTATCCTTGTACAGCTGTGAACCATCATCCAACAAAATAAAAAAATTGTGTAAATATGTCATTGATCGGTGAAGTCCCAGAAGATAACAGACACACCACAATTATGGTATATAAGAGCAACTCTACTGCATTAATAAGTTTATGGCTTATGTTCCTCAAGGAAAGAATCTAAACTATTCATTTTTTTTGAAAAGTTCACCATCTTTCCCCATTAAAATGGATTTGTTTTATATTTAGTTGATTTAATTTGTTTTCTATTTAAAACTTATGCTTTTTATTTGTGAGTTTAACAGAATAGTAATTTGTTCACATCTAATTTATTAAATAGTTATAACAACTAGAAAAAAAAAACTGCAGTTGCTACCTCAGTTAATAAGTGTGGCAGCTATGGCAAATGTGCCCCTTACAAGTCAACCTTTAGGGTGTATGTTCAACAGTGGATTTGGATGGGTTGTTGTATATATAAAATATATTTTTATAGTGGTAGCTTTGAAATTATTCCTTTGTAACCATTTCTGCTAGGCTTTTCACACTAGGATTTTCTCCTCTATCATGGTGACAGTATACAAACATAAATTTCACAAGGACAAACATCCAGATCTTGTAGACCATAAAAATACTTGTTTCATTCGGAATTTTAACCTGTAGCTCTCGGAGCTGCAACTCATTGCTAAGCAGCTGTGATGCAGATCCATCACATATATCAGTATTGTGATCTTTTACATTTTCAATTTAACAATGTATGTAACTAGAATAAAATCACGAGCAAATTTCATATTTTCAAGGTTCAAGTGGTAGTCACATGACTTAAAATTAAGATGTTCATTGCTATTTTTTTTTTATAGTTTAAGGCCGGCCGCATACATACGGAATTCCGTTTCGGGATTCCGTTTCAATATTTCGATTCGGAATTCCGAACGCAGCAAGTCCATATAAAATCTATGACCCGTCACACACGTACAGTAGTTTTCCATTCGAAATTTTGCGGGCAAAACGGGATTCCGTATGTATGTGGCAGGCCTTACTAATATAGATTGTAACTTTTTTTATAGGATGAGGGTGGCAAACGAACACACAGTCCACTTGATCGTAAGTGGTTGCTGTGGCCCATTGACATTATATCGATCCTCAATTACAAATCAAAATGCAGATGCATTGTCACCTGTGAGGACAGATGGAATGCCTTGTTTTCAGTAAAAAAGACTTGAACATGGCTTACATTTCTAGTATATTATTTAAGATGGTTATTTTAAAATTGAACAGAGTCCATATTATTGTTCTGGTCTTTTTTACTTCATAGCATAATACTTATGTTATTTATTGTAAGTTATCATTGAAAGTAATAGATACTTGGAAATTGAGACAGCAAATGAAACTTAAGCGTTACTGATGTAATGGCTCATTGGGTTACATAACCTTTGTTATAGTTTTATAAATTGTCAAAGATGTCATTCATCACAGCCCATCAAAAGTCCAATGAACTCCTCTCGCACAGATTGTTTCATAGGTAGGATATTTGCAAAGTTGCCATGCTTAGCGAGGGGCAGGAAACTGCCGTTTTTTAATATTTTAAGTTGGTATTATGAGGATACTGCTGCACACCTCCCATTTAATTTTTCACTGCCATCTCTTATGACACTCATATGTTGATGTGGGGATATTCTTACACTGCCACTATATTGTGAGTCAAAGTTATGAGTAAAAGGAATGTCATGTTTTTGTTTAGTATGGATGTAAAATACTAAACTACCAACTGTTCATACTCATTATCCACCTGTATCACTCAATCTAGATATAGGTCTCTCACAAGGGCATCATTTCGCTCAATACCTTGTGCTCCACCAGTTACTGTCACTAGTTGTGGAACTGTTAACTGCAGAAAATAATCACTTTTTTATTTATGGATTTATTTCGACTAATTGAAGCAACAAAATTGTCAAGGCTGTCTCATTATAATAACATAGCTCCCTGGATACTAATAATTTAAAATTTTGTACAACAAACTTCAATATAAATTATTAAGAATAACTCTAAAACTATTAGTCAGACCTTGATCAAATTTATATGGGACCACATGTCAAGCACCAGCTTTCAAATAAAAAAAGGATCATGGAAATCGGTTCACCCAGTAAAAAGTTATGAGGTAACAAAGATAAAAAAAACGTACAGTTGAATTGAGTACCATCTTCTTTTTGAAGTCGGTAGAAAAACAAGGCAATCAAATGTGTTTAAATCCATTTGATTGTGTTGATTGTTTCCATTATAATCACAGTAATGGATTTACAATTAATTTCAAAACCTGTCAAAGGCAAATATTTGTCCAAACAAACTCATGCCTCATAAAGTAAAAAGTTAAAGCTACAGCCTATATATATTCCACTGCTGGGTACAGGCCTCCTTTCATTTCTGGAAGAGTTTTAGGGCAAGGAAGTGTCAACCGCGCTGCCCCAATGTGTGTTGGCAAAGTTCATGTGTCTTCAAAATTTTTTCTTATTTCTCAGACATGCAAGTTTCCTCACAATGTTTTCCTTCACCACCGAGCATGTGGTAAACGGCACTTAAAATTGCAAGTAACAATTTCATTGACGCT